TCCATAGTCCTACCTTTTTTTTCTAGAGGTATTATCTAGAATAGTTCCACACTAACCAGGGACTGTCCTTGGGTGCATTTCCATAGTGAATACAGAGATAGTCGCCAGTTTGTGTGTCCATTACATTTAGATTAAAGTTGTCTAAAGGGCCTCTTCGCAACTGTGTAACTGCTAGGAAGCCTACTGGCTTCGGCCCCTCGTACAAATCCCAAATGACCGGGACCCTGTAGTCCCGTGAATGGTAAAGACATACATAATAATAATAATAATGTGTGTCCATTACATTCAGATTAAAGTCGTCTAAAGGGCCTCTGCGCAGTTGGCTTTGGCCCCTCGTACGTTACATTGTTTCGGCCAATTTACCAGCCCACAGCAACCATCCATAGCCCTACCTTTTTTTTCTATTATCTACAATAGTTCTACACTAACCAGGGACTGTCCTTGGGTACATTTCCATAGTGCATACAGAGATAGTCGCCAGTTTGTGTGTCCATTACATTTAGATTAAAGTTGTCCAAAGAGCCTCTTCGCAACTGTGCAACTGCTAGGAAGTCTACTGGCTTCGGCCCCTCGTACAACTTCCAAATGACCGGGACCCTGTGGTCCCGTGAATGGTAAAGACATACATAATAATAATAATAATGTGGGTCCATTACATTCAGATTAAAGTCGTCTAAAGGGCCTCTGCGCAGTTGGCTTTGGCCCCTCGTACGCCTCTCAAATGACCGGGACCCTGTGGTCCCGTGAATGAAAAAAAAGCCCGCGGGGCACCTTGAGGCGAGGTGAGGGGCATTGGCGACCCCGCGTGCTACGTGTGCGAAGAGGCTTTGCTCAGCAGTGGGCATTTATAGGCTGTTGATGATGATGATTCGCTACCATCATCCCGAGTACTCCAGGGAGAAGTTACTGTTCCTTATTATCTTTTTTAAAAAAAATTTACTTATATAATTTACTTAGAATCCAGAACAAGTCAAGAATAAATCACAACAAAACCTTTTTATGTAATATATTGTACAAAATCAACATCATAGACTATAACATGACAAACGAAGAAGTATTCTAAAAAGCAACGAAGACAATGACTGATCAAATAATAGAAACATTTAAAGTGAAGCAGATAAAGAACAAATTATGTTGACGAGAGCCAGAAAACAACAAGCCCCCTGACCTGACCCACTCCACCTTAGCTCCACCTCGCCGTCGCCAAATCCCAGCTCCACAGGCACACTGGAGACAGCAGTTGTATCGAACTCGAACGACGACTATTTCTCTCCACCTACGTCGCCACCACCAGTGCGTCGGCTGGGAAGAGGCCAGCCACCGACTAGCTTGGGAACTAGGGCCTATTAGACCCCGGACAGGTCTCCGCTACTCCAGACTCAGTCTGCTCATAATACTGTGCTATAGAGAGAGAGACTAACCTCACTGCGTACTGTGAGAGGATGCTGTCTGTGTTTCAGGTGCTTGAACGATCTGTCAAATTCTCGGCCTAACGATTGTTGTATCAGGCGCGGATCATACAACGCAATCGCAGATTGGATGAGGTTGCACTTAATCGGCTTCGCAAGTACTGCGCAACAGTGTCGTCCCCGCCCCGCTGTTGCTGAAATAGAGGAAGATAGGGTTGAAGAAGTATGTAGGTACTCAGAGCAATGAATGATTGGGGAGAGCTGTGGAGGCTGCGATTCGTGAGTATAGATTTGCTCCTAAAACAAAAATTATATCGTTTGCCTATATGTAAAAAATAGGGTGCTGGTGTGTATCCTGGACTTACAAAAAAAAAAAATTTGAAAATAGTCAAAATCGTCCTGATACTAGTGTATCAGACCGCCCCACAGTATCACTGAGTAGTGATACTGTGGGGCGGTAGCAGCTTGTGGAGTGGCTACCGTCAGATTTCCGAATCTTGAAGCAGCAGTTCGACCGAAATCAGAAGTACATGTCTGGCTGCCTGGTTTTTAAGTAGAAAATATTGAAAAATGTAATTAGTTTGAGAATAAATGAAAAGGCAGAATAATATTCTAATGCCGCAACACTAGAAATGTCAACGTCAATGAACTTTAAGAAAAACTGGATACAAGAAAAACATTTCCCAGAATTAACATGCCACATAAAAATTATAAAAAGCAATTATATTTTTAAGAAGAAAAGTGAATTAAGAAAACGAATGTTGATGATGACGAGGCGCACCCCCATCACCTCCAGAATTGTCGCCACGCAGCAGTGACAGCTTGGAACGAAGAATATTTGTTTCCGCTGACGTTGAAAACATCTGTACGTGTCGGCAGGACAGAGGCCAGTCACCGATGGGTTTGGGAGCCATGAGAAGTTCTGGGACCTGGTCCCGCCACCATCGTGTACGAGGCATGATATGGACTAAGTATAAATGAAAACGTCATGCGCACATACTACGAGGCCACAAATGAAAGAAATAACCAGGCAGCGTATACTAGGATGCTGTATCTGTTTCAGATGCTCGACCCAATATCATTATTATTATCAGCTGAAAAACAAAAATATATTTAACCTGATAAAATTATAAGGTAACCAAAATCCTAAATTCAGTAACACAAATTAAAACGAGTTCGCAATTTTACTAACACACTGATTTAATTTACCAACATTCACGGCTTTTGGAAAAACAATATTTATCCCAAATTTTTCAACCTCTAGAGAGATGTTCAGTCACTTTGATAAATAATCCTGTACCCGTCCGACTGGAAATATTGTGTTTTGCAATTTTTCACGTGGATTTACGAAGATTTGCCAGAGCAGAAGTGCCAAAAAGTAAACGAAGCACTGAGGTATGGGATTAACAACTCAACGTTTGAAAATGAAGATATATGTATATAAACAACGTAAGGCAACAACTTCTCTGGTCCGCGTGAGATTTTTTAGACGAGAAGTAAGAAATTATAATTACATTCACTATAACTTCAACAACAACTGCTAGAGTCAACTTCTGGGTTTATTTTATTTATTTTTTATTTTAACAAATGTTTATATAATGGTGGGCTTAATGCCGGAAGGCATTCTCTACCAGCCAACCATAGGGTGATGGAGATAAGTGTTATAGTAGGTTATAATAAGTATCTTATACAAAACAGTGGTTTGCCATGAACATATTGACGTATCGCCAACCTGCACTGAGCCAGCGTGGTGACTAATGCTCAAACCTTCTCCGTTCGAAAGCTTTTGGTTAACAGTGGCCGGTTATTGATATGATATAGAAATAAACGTAAACGATAACATAAATTTGCCCTAATAAGTAGGCCAATCTTACCTTCACTTGAGGTATTAAAGCTTAGCGATGCCTATTAAATAGAATGAAGTGCTTTACTAAAATTAGTACTGAGCTTACTTCAGAAAAATCTTTATAAATGTGTTTGAGGCTTTTGTGTCAACCTACTTCGACTTTATTTTTAGATTTTATGTAAGGTACTATTGAACACTTTAATTGGAACATTGTTTTTAAGGAGGGATTTTGTAAGTTAGTTATTTAAATACTAGCTTTTCGCCCATGGCTTTGTACGTGTGGAACCTGAAAGATTTTATCTAATAGGTCTCAATTGTGTAGAAATTTCGGAATAAAAGGGGAGAAAACAAAAGCTCTGACAAAAAAAAAAAAAATAAACTGAATGTGTTTATTCGGGTCTGCGATAATATTACATTGCAAATAGTTTTAAACCTCCTCAGCGATACTAGTGTCATCCCGAACATTAGACGTGGGTCGTTTTCAAGAAACGTAATGTAACTAGTGACTTCAACGGCGTAACCAGTCTCTCAAAAATGGTCCTTTGAGTCAGATGTTGAAGATCAATGAACTAGCAAATAATTGAACAGTTCCAAGAAAATAATTTCAAGAGTAATAGGTTTGTATAATACCATAACATCACGCTTCTAATCCCTGAAAGGGTGCGGCGTGCACATTACGGCAATTAATGCCACTGTACAATGTAACACCCATTTTTCAGAGTCCCATGTAATGGAGAGTGAACCTAACCCCATATACCAGGCGCAATTCTAGACTCCCTGATACTACTGAGATTTTTTTTAAAACGCCCACTATTACCTGCTTTGCACGACCCGAGAATCAAACCCGGAAATCAAATCAAAATAAATACCTTACCCGGTAGTCGCACTTGCTACCACTCGGCCTTTAGGCAGTCAAATCAAATATGGAGTGTAAAATTCCGAAATAAAGATTTATTATTATTGTATTTCAGTTTACATTCGATTGGAACGCGATGTGATGGTATTTATACGTTATGTAAGTAAATATTATAAGCCACATTCAACTCGTACTGGAAAAACAAACACACTGCGCCACTGGACGGGACACGTCACGTGGACACGTGTGAACAGTTTTAATACCAATATGGCGGTTAAAATGTATCGCCACGTGTTTTATTTACGTGCGTGGACTTTTATCTTACTATGTCGTATTTGCTAAATTAAATGCTGTTTACATTGATACTCAAAAGTTCAATTAAGTTCTTTTCATCTATTATTATATTACTATATGTTAGCTAATCAGTTTATATTTAAAAAAAACATATTTTTGAAAGCATAACATACACGAATTTCCCATAAGCCATAAGCATTGCAACCAAACTTGAAACGAAATATGTTACTAACGGGAATAGTCGACGACTCGTTGCATAACAGTTACTAGTTTATCAACATAGTAAAATAAGAAAAACAATATTTAGAAAGTTTTATAATAATGTAAGAAAACTTTTAAAGTTCAGAAGAAGTTCAAAACTTCTGTTCTTCGAAGTTAACATAAAACTATTATAAGGAAGAAGAACAAACTAAAAAGGGGAAAAATAACATTTCAAGTTGCAATTATTTAATATTATTTGAAAAAGCATAGACGTCTATATAAGCAAATAAATGTATATTCATACTTATAGCCTTAATATAACGCACTGTAGATCTACAAGCACAAAGCTAAATTTTGCTGATAAAATATGAAGAAGCAATTATTTATTTTAAATTTAATCTTCTTTCTTCGCTACTAGTGTGTAATAACTGTAAGATCCTTTCAGTATCTGTAAAGAAAATATGTTTAAATGTTAGCATAAATTATTTTCCACCTTTTATTTTCCTTGAGGTTAAGTACACGTAAACAGTGTGGGAGGGGCCGGCTGGAGCGGAGTGATACCACGGCATCACAGAAAACCGACGTGAAACAACGCTTGCGTTGTGCTTTGTCGTGTAAGTAACCAGAGGCCCAATCTTCCCGATCCCCGAATCCCTAACAATTCTTTAATTCCTGATCCTTGCCTTTTGGAAAAGGCCGGACTCGTAACACCTCTGGAGTTTTGAGTGTTTATGGGCGGCGCCGATTGCTTACGACGGTAAGCGGTGATGACGATGAGATGATGCGTCTGATCGTTTACTGGCTTCAATCTAAAAAAGAATCAATGAAATAGAGTATGTAAATTCTACTAAAACGTGTCAATAGTTTACCGAGTTTTTTAAAGTAGAAATTGAGAAGGAACGAAATTTAATCAAGGTTCCGACCCTAAATTCAAAAAGGGTTTAGGTTAGGTTAAGTTAGGTACTTTTTGACGTATAAAAAGCAAACGTATAGAAAAAAAAGTCATTCTGATTAAAAACCTTTTCGATTCAAATACCTAGAAATGCTACAGGTGCGTTACATTCAGAACAGAAAATTGAAACTTTTAATTTGAAAGAGATTTTATGGACTATTGAGTATAATAAGCATTGCTTTGATGTCTAGTTGCAAACTAATGTGCGAGAAGTTTCAGGATTGAAATGTGGACGTGCGTCCACATTTGGAGAATGTGCTACGAATGCGCTTCTCGCGAGCTGCGCGCGTGCAGTTACGGCAATGATTTGGTGCACCTTGCGCGCCTTGCTTATAAGGCTCCTGAACCGCTCGTAAACGGCTTGCGAGTAGCGCACGATCTACGCGCACTCAATTCTCGCACTTACAGTGCCGATCCGTGAGCATACAGTGCTTAGGTCACGCGCGAACTACGCGTGAGCGACGCGCATGCGGCACAGGAACAAAAATGCACGCGCGCAGCTCGCGAGCTGCGCATTCGCCAGATGTGGACGCACCCTTAAAAAGCATTTCATACCGTCAGCGAAGTGATGCTCTTCGGAAAATGCAATTTGTTTTTGAAATATTGGAGCCCGAATTTGTTGGGTTGTTTCGCGTAAATAAAATTATGCGTCACAAAATAATCTAAGAGTTGGAACCGTATTTATCCTCCGTGCTGGAATAAGTACTGTTTGTAAGGTAAGAAGCCACCAAATTATTAATTATGAACGACACACTTGGGAGCCAAGAGACGGAGCCACAAGCTTTTTCTTTTTTTTTATGATAAAGTATCTAATGAATGGCTCCGAATAAAAAAAAAAAGGTAAATAAATTACCTTTAAAATGAGAGCAATTTGTAAAAAAAAGGAATATTTTATTAAAGTTATAGACGGTCCAATAAGATGAAAAAAACGCTAGTGGCTCCGTTTCTGTGCACCTTACCTAATAGCCTTCTTATACACGTTCTAATAACCGCAGAGTACCGCCACAAAGAGTTAGTTACACCCAAAGCTCCTACAGAACCCTTTTGTATTTTAAAATACTACTTTATCTTTTTACTGCATCAAAAGAAGTTTTACAAAAGAGCTGCGCTTTAAACGTCTTTGAAAAATGGTTGTTAGTATGTAATAGGATGTACTGTTAGGATGGCGCTCCGGGAATCATTTTTGGAAATGACACCCAAGTGCTGCTAATAATTACTTTTGACTTACAATAATCACTGTGTGATATAGAACGGTATTAGTTGTTGAACAACTTTTTTTGAAGTGACTCCATACTGTAAGTAATACGTATATTTTATCCTACATGGCCAGTGGTTATCCCTTAGTCGACAAATATGCTTACGTGTGAAAGTGCCACAGGATGTACGGATTGCTTTAATTGCAATTTACATGTATAGGGCTTTGTTCATAACAATGTAAGGATTGATTAGATTGTAATTTACAATAAGGCCTTGTTCATAACAGTACTAATTTAAATTCATTAGTGCCTCTTGTTGAATGGGGGAACAAAGATGAAATATGTATTTGCGTTTTCATTGAATATAACAATGTAATCGTTAATCTGATTTCGCTCATTATTAGCTACCTAGTTCTGAGTCTTTCTGTATTTTAGAAATGAGAAGTAGTTACTATAAAATTTGTGATTTAAACGTATTTTATAAATATTTGATGGGCCGACGTTTGACCAGTATCTCGCGTGGTGGTAAGCGATTATGCGGTCTACGATGGAGCACGTCGACCCATTAGCAACCTTTTCACTCGGACCTTGAAGACACCCAGGTTATACCGTTCAGGAAATACAGAGTCTGGCAAAGAATCGACCCATCAAATATAAAAAAAAATCCATTCCTTAGCAGTACACACAAGGAAGCTTGATGCGAAGAGCTTCATGCGTGTGGGTATGTGTATAAAATTAAAAGTTGCAGGATGACGACGAAAATCTCACAAACAGAATATTATTAATAAAATTTTTCGTTAATAGAACTTACAGTAACAAATGTGGCCATATTGAGTTTTGTGAATGGCCCAGCTGTGAAAACAATGGGCTTGCGAAGTTGACCTCCCAGCAGAAGGAGGCTCCTACGTGTACGTACATTCTGCGACCACCACGCACTGCTGTACACTCCATCATCCACTTGATTACTCTGTTATCACCAAAATGACGATTGATTATAATGTTGAAAAATATAATACAAAGTGATCATCTTGTGATTTTCAGTCTAGCTATCAACTCAATCATTCGACCGCTAAATTCAAAACTTAATATTATAACATAATAATAAAAATAACATTTCCAACGCAATAGAAGCTTACCACAATTAATATCATATTCAGAAAGTTATAGTTGTTTGCCTGAAAAAGGTATTAAATAATCCTTATAAGGGTCCTGGCTGTCCCAAAAAACTTTTACTAATTTGGGCTCATAAATAAATCTAGTGAGAAAGCGACTAAAAATAAACGGAAACCCGGGTAAAGTTGGCTCATGTAATGGTTTCTTTGAGGAAATCAAGTATTTTATGTATTAGATTTCGGACACTATCACATTTTACCCTTAAAATTATACGCTCTCGGAACCCAACGCGATACTTTTCTTAAAAATCAAACAATCATAATCCCATTTCACTATGCATTCAATTCTGCATTAGGGACGAAATCTAGTAATTCTAGTATTATGAATTGCAGTAGCATTTGTTATCACAATGAGGTATTTATACTTTCATCCAAAACTCTGGGGCGTGAGTGACAAACAGGTTGAGACACGATGACGTGACGAAAGCGATCAAATCAACGGCACAACCTAGTTGTGTCCTATATGACGGTGTGTGACGAGACGTGACGTAGTCTTGATTAAGGGCTCGTACACAAAACTGTGATGAGAATTTCTGCGATGCGATTTCGTGCGACCATTCTTACGACGACCGTCAACCGTACTAAACGTATTAAAATACGACAATCGCCGTTGACTGCCGACAGAAAAATATTGAAGGTAAATCATCCGCTAACGTAGGTCACCGGTGACCTACACGACGGTTAACGTGTTAAATTGAAAACTAGGTCGGCATGATTGACATGGATCATAAAACGAAGTGTGCGCTTTTATTATTATTTATACCGGAAAATGAAACAAAGACGATTTTGGGAAGATAAGAGTTAGATGCGCGATACGAATCAATTCGCAAGTTCTTGAGATGCGTAGAGGGAGATCGCACATTTATGCGATGCGACGTCGCACCGCAGTTTTGTGTATGAGCCCTTAGTAGCAATCAGACTAGATACTCCGTAAATACCTCTATACTGTAATTCCTTTGAAATCAGAATCGGTATATTATTATTCAAATTTTAATATTCAATTATTAATATTATGAAAGATGGTAGTCAAAATGTTTACATGGAGATCCCATTATCATTACTTTGAGAGACTTTCGTCATTAAAATTATCTCTTGAGTAATCGTTAGAAAAGGGCACATAACTTCTATCCTCTCTCAAGGGCACATACACAAACATAAGTTAAAAGATTGCGATAGTGCATTAAGATGATTGCTCATACCAAGTCGAAGATTGTAATATCTTTCTCAGCTTAATGTTGATTGTAGTAGACCTAAAGTATAATTTACTTTATCTAAGAGAAAGAGACAGTTGGTCATAATTTTAAGGAAGACAATACATTATTTTGTGCTATATTTTTAACCTTCTCGTTACTGTCCAAATTTATTATGTAATATATTATTGCAATGCTAAACAAGAAAAATATTCAACATTTCTATATTCCCAAAGTTTTTGAACAAAAAGATGTTTACAAAGCGTTTTAACGGTCGGATCTACAGGGATTTCTCTTTTTGTCGGTAAATTACATAAAGGATTGCTTTGACAACCGTCACTTCATCAAGCTTAAAGTGTTTTCCCAAAAATAAGCCACAAAATTGCCATAATTTGGTACGCATTTTTATGTAACTTTGTTGAAATAATGCCATGAAGTTATATGACGCTAGATCCGATTTCATATGTTTTACTCGTGTTGTATGTCGATATATTAACACATAACATAACTTAAATAAAGAAAATAATTCAGTAAGAATTTGTATTTAAAAAAATAATAATTGTGTTTCAATATCAATATGTGTTTTTCTGTTGATACGTCTGATCAGTGTTTTAAAATCTTACGAAGTCATTAGCATCAGATATTTCTTAAAATATATATATTTTTACATAGCATCGCATTTAGAAATGACAGACAATTTCAGTACAAAATTACATCTTTGATGCAAAAGAAACTTGACAATAATACAAAATAGGTACTAACCAAAAAGAACACGTCATTGCTATGCCAGCAATATAAAAATAGTTGAGCGATGAGAGCCATAAGATATAAAAAAAAAAAAATTTGATGCACTGTAGTTGTGCCTTCCTAAAATTAAAAAAAAAAACAATCATCGATCATAAAACGTTCTTTTTGTAAAGTCTGTAATAATGACGAATATTATCGAAATTATAAATAAGTACTTGACGTTGTGTAGTATGTAGTCGAGTTAGCTGAAGTTGATATTTAACACTTAACATCGACTTGATATATTGGCTTGAATATTCAGATACGCGATAGACCTGGGGACGGTAGAATGAGATAATTTTTCACCGCCTCTATTCACCCTGTGTCCAAAGGACACATTTGACAGAAACCTTTAGACCAGGAACGGCTATTAGAAATCACAGATCAGGTCGAAAATCCTGTTTAGCAATTGAAGACATTGAGGCAATAAATATAGAGGTAGACATTTAGTCAACAATGGATTAAACCGATTTTAAACTGTCGAACACCAAGCGGTCACCGGTGACCGCAACCTATTGTTCTATAATTGTGTCTGTATTGACGGTACTCGACGAGTTAAAGTAATAGTATTAAACAATAGGTAGGTACGTACCGTGGTCAATTGCGCAGCACTGGCACAAATCATGAGAGAGCAGATGATGACGTAAAGAAACATAACTGGAGAAAGTAATGAATTCAGAACTGCTGAAAATCTGGAAAACAATTAAGACATTTCCATAATTAGAAGAAACACATTATGTTAAACGCCATGTTGTTCCAAAAATTACCATTCAATTATGTTATTTCGCTGGCAAAATAAACAATTTCACTTACTTTACCAAGTACAAATGATGCAAATGACACTCCCTAATCCTTTTTACTGTTTCATCATAATTAATTAGCTCATTACCATCGCCAAATAGCCGTGAGCAATTTGCAGAAAGCACTTTTAGTTGTCCAGCAAAAAATGTCATTATTACTACAGCTGTAGAGTCGAAATTTGCAACGACTATACCTCCGTATACACAAGCAGACATCTGGTAAACCGTTGCTACACAGAAACCAATGCCTCGTGTTCTGTCGAAAGGAGTCCAAGAGCTCATTATTTCTGGATATGGTAAAGTACCATTTCTAATATTATGACGATAAGTAGGAGAGGACCAGTATATCAGTAGTGGAGCGAGGCTGACTATTAGAACAGTAGCAGTAACCAAGCTCCAATAAAGATAAGTCACTCTTCTAGCATACTTTACATATTGAAATATTATTTTGTTAATAGTGTCATCTTTCTTGGCTAATTGCGAACGTTCTAATTCGGAGACATAATCAAACAATTCTTTCCAAGTATTCTGCCAGAAGACCAAATTGCAGGCTTTAAAAACACATACAGTGCTCAACATTGTCAAAGATAAGTTCCTCATCGCCATTTCGAGGTCGTTCCGTATGACCCAAAGCTCTACGTATTGTGATAAAACAAAGATAAATGCCACAAAATGCACCAAATTATGCAAAAAGTTTTTTAAACGATCTTTCTCCCAAAGACCGCCACATCGCAGCAATGAGATAATCGTTCCCAATAATGGATTATCTGGGTCTTCTGATACAGTTAAGAATTTAAATACCATTTTTAAATTAGAACGAATGTTCTCCCGCTTGTGGCAAAAATATAATGTGAAATTCACGTAATACTCGGACACTTGAAGGTCAATTCATCATTTATGAATGTCTGTTACTATACTATTCCTCTGGCATGGCCTGTTTTTACCTGACTACGGCAAAGCCAAAGGAGGGTTATGATTTTGACAGGCTATGTATGTATGTTCATCTGTTCCCTCGTAACTCCTAAACTACTTATCAGAATTCGACACATGACGTATAAAAAAACGCGTCTTAATTGTCCGCTGGTTATAGGCCATATAGGGTTAAAAAAAATCTAATGTGGCGCCTTCTAGCAGACAAAACATACAGAGTAAAAAAATAAAGTTAAGATAAATGTAAAGAAAATCATTGCATTATATTTTCTTATTTATGCTACTCTGTGCTCAATTATCAATTTTGAATTGGCCGCCTTATATTAAATATTATAACGAGATGTCACTGTCATTGTGACGTGTGTGTTTTTTAGAAGAATTAATGTCGGATGGTTATGTGTCGTAATTTAGTGTAAAGAGTTACGTTTCATATAAAAGGAATAACAATATCTGAAATAAAGGCTTTTTAAAGAAAGACAATTTATCTCTACAAATTGAATATTGCATACTTAAGAATAGTATTGTATGATAGTATTGTCAGCATTAGCAACTTTGTTCAGTTCAGTATTCTAAAAATCTTGTTTTATACTTTTTCAGCGTCGTTTTTGTCGTAGTTGGGTTTTTTTAAGAAAAAAAGTTTTAAATATATAATTAGTGCAACTAACGACACGTAGGTAAAAATTGCTTAGCCATAAAAATATGAACCCTCAACTGGTCACGAAAATCAGAAGTAATTTTAATAGAAAAAAAAATATGTATTCGAGCTCTAGTTATGAGAAAATGGAATAGTATTTTCTCCTCCATATTAAAATTGTACACTGACCTCTATATTTCACGAGTTGATAGAGTACCGAGCTGTACCGACGGACCTACATCATTTGCAAGAGTTTTTATCTCGAAAACTACAGAATGAATGAACCCACTAGGTACTATGAATGCAGATTCTAGACGAGTTTTAATCAAGTCTTTTGTGTGAAATCCTCGTAGTTTGTATGTCATTAAGAGCTACAATTCTGCTTCCATTCGGTAATTGAGTTTTAGTCGAATTACTTTTATTTCGCGTGTGTTTGTTTCATGGAATAATTTATCAAGGTACAGGCTTTGTTTTGTATGCTTGATTGTGTTTTCGTAACTAGTTTCGCTTGAATTTGAGGAAATTGATATAATTAAATGCGATGTTGATACAATGGAACACTGCTTAGCGTAACTTGAGACTTGAAGGGGTGCTTTTCGCTCATTTCTTGGGTTAAAATTTTGCATAATATTACCACTATTTTTGGACTAGATTTGTACATTAACGGAAAAAATATTAATTGACGAAAAATGGAAAAAAAAAAGTACTAATTAGACGTCACCGACTCACCATATTCGATTATTAAAAAAATATCAAACGTGCGAATAAAATGATTACAACGATAGAATGAAGAATATATAATAATTAAAGGTTGTCAACAAATAGGAAAATAAGAATGATGAACAAACAATCATACGAACGAATAAATAAAGTGTAAAGAATGGGTGGACAGATGTCACAATGTATGAAACAAATTGGTACTTTGCATACAAAACAGTGGGTTGTTTGTTAAATAGGCAATTTTTTGCACAGTGACAACTGATTATTTCGGCTTCACAAATTGTACTGTTTTGGCGAATATGGCACGGTAATTGTTAGTGTTTAGCGTCAATTTGATCGAAAACTGCCAGAAAATGTATTTTCTTTGTTTATCGTTGTTGCGAGTTCAATTTTAAGTGGTTATTAGGGTATGGTATATTTAATGTTTGATATGATTTTGACGTTCGATTTTATGGATTTTTTTAAGGGGGAAAACCATCGAATGGCTTCTCCCGCCTGGGTGACTCGGAAGGGAGTGTCAGACTCATAAAACATACTAAATACCACCCCATTCCTTCTCCTGCACATTGAGCCGGAGCCCCGGTAACCCGTTAGGTTCTCCGCGACTCCGAATCGGCATCATCCCTGTTGGGCCCCATCCGTGGTGGTCCCACCCATGCTCGACGTTCGTAGGCCCTCGATTTTATGGATAGGAACGTAATTGTTAGTTTGCTTCAGTATAGGTATGAGGTTCATCACACACTTAGTAAGCACAGCTCAAGCACGGCTCCCGCATGGTTCAAGCACGGCTCCGATACGATGTTCTTTGCTTTAAATAAACAATAGAAAATGGTTGCAAGCGCGTCGTCGCGCCGCCGTTGGCGTGCGGGCGGCGCGTTTATAGCTTTTTTATATTAATGTTATGAATTCTGTCATACGACATACGATTTAACGTTCATATTTAATTTTTTTGTTAATTGCTGGGTTAGAGCCGTTCTTGTTAGGTGTGCAATTTTTTTCATTTAATAAAAGTATGATTTTGGTAATAAATTGAGGTATTTTTTTTACAAAACTGTAATGAAAAATAAAACAAACAGCTTAAGAATTGAAATTTATTTGCACGTTTCTACAATTTGTTAAATATTATTCAATTTGAAATTAAACAGCGTTTGATTCGCTACAATGAAAAGAACTTTAATCTAGCAGAATAGGTATTTGATTTCGAAATCCTTAAAATAATTTCATAGAACCCTGAAACTCAAAGTATAAAGGGTTCGTATCTCTTTTGAAGTAATCTGACATGAAGCTAAACAACATGTTTTCTGTACCTCTAGAAATTAGCGGATTATTAATTCTGACTACAAAGCTTACTTACTGCCTTTGATCAAATTACTCTAAACACTACCTCATAATATTAATATAACAACAATTAATTATATCTTTGTAATAATTATCGTGAGACATATTAAATAATACGCTTCTAGTTTGGAGTGTGACACATCAACACTGAATTTGTGCCGAACCCACTACCTATGCCACTGGTGAACGTATCATGCGTTTTAACATCGTCACAAGCGCCGCTGTTGGAGTTAGGAGCAAACGCGCGTGGTTTCCGTCAGACGGCACGATGAGGTCGCCACACAAGTAACAAAACCAACGTAAGCGCCGACGACGCTAGTCAGTGGGCTGCGCGACATCGCCGCGACTGCACACGTTGCTCATGAGGAAGAGCCCCTCTGAAGCTTTTTTCAGTGTATTCTCTCCAGTAACCCGCAATTTTTAGTTTTTTTTTAAATTAAAGAAGGCAAACGAACGTTGTATCAGTTCGGAAACACCACCGACGATAACTCATTCCACAGTTGCGAGGCAGAACGCTACGACAGACGCGCACAGTTGTGGCCTGCCAATCTTATGATGGGGATGGATATGCTGTCGTAAGATTCGATAACGAAACGACGCGGCATGTATCGGACCAAACAATTCCCCAGAGCAGTCCCCGTGGTATAAGCGATAGAAGATGGACAATAAAGCTACATATTTACGCATTGCCAAAGTTAATTAAATACTAAACAACAATAATTACGTACCCGTTCTGTTACCGTATATTCGGTACCACCCCTCCTTCTTGCGGGCAGAAAATTGAACTAAGTGCCAATTTCAATAATTCATAATCTGCAAACATGGATTCGTGTTTGACATAAGTTGAATGGAGCTTCAGTGAAAAATCGAGATTAATGCAGAAATTTCGGATTATTGAAATCGGTAGTTAGGAATTGCAAATTTGAGAAAGACCAGTCGTTACTTAGGATCCCAGAATTCTAAAACTCGTTGTTGATTTCAGCATTTACAATGACATGGTCGACCAATAAAACTACCCTGTTTCTCTATAGGTACAATTTTGGATTATATTTACTCGAGTCTACGTGACGTTGACCCGAAATTGGAGAATATGAAATTACAAAATAACAAACAAGAATTAATTGTTGTTTTAAACTGATAGCTAAGCGGTTCACCTCACTTTTGAATAAGCAAATGTATTAGTCATTAATTAAATTAAATAAATTTGGTATTACAAATTAAGTATAAACATTTATTTATGTGATATTATTTCAAGCTTCTTGCATTTGAGAGAACAGGGTGAAGAAACTGTAGGAACCTTTCATGATCTGAAAAAAAAAATGTTATAGGTATACTAACACATAGAAAAGTATACGAAAGACTTTTCAAAGTATCTTACTATCAATACATAGTATAAAACAAAGTCGCTTTCGCTGTATGTCCGTATGTATGCTTAGATCTTTAAAACTACGCAACGGATTTTAATGCGGTTTTTTTTAATAGATAGAGTGATTCTTAAGGAAGGTTTGTATGTATATACATATTGCACCCGTGGGAAGCCGGGGCGGGTCGCTAGTTTGAAATAAAGTAAAGATAGACCTTATAAATATAAACCTTTAAGTCCTGACCTTGTTTAGCCTTAATAGATAATCGAAATGGATTATTTTTAATTACTGATTTGCACAATATTTACTTGTATTATGATCTGTCCATTATTATTCCATTAAGAAAGTGCGAAAAAACACGAAATTTACGAATGAAATCAGCGGTTTTTTGGTTCAAATTATAAACTATATTTCGCATAACTTAAAAAAAGATATGTTATAATTAGCTACAATACAATTATTTGGAGATTTTTTGGTAAATTCTTATATTTGAAACTCGCCGTCTATAAGATATCCGCGTCAGTAGTTAAAGGTTAAGAAGGATTGAATAGATAAAATGCATACACTACAATAATTTAATTGCCTAGTACCTATTTTATTAGTTTTAAATGCAGCAACATTATAATTGGTAGGAGAGAGGAAGCCCGTTGCTATTTATTATAAATGTAATGACAAAACTAATAAAATAATTGTTATTCTTGTATTTTATAACCATCTGTATGTGTACAAGTTGGACGCAATAAATATTTGTTTACTTGAAGTATTTTTATTCTGTGACCAACTCGGAAACAAATACGAGACCATACACAATATGTTACTGTTGCATTTGGGATCAGTTATTTTTTAGGTGTATAGACATTAAAGTTTTTTTAGAAAATATATTCCTCATCTCCCTAATCCCTGAATCCACAACAATGTTCAAATTTCTAATTCCCAATAGATCGGTAACACACTTTTTTTAAGAGGGACAAGCCCGCCACAACCTCCCAAAACCGCTGCAACTCCTGTAAGCCAGGATCTACAGTAGATACAACCATGAAAACACAAGAACAAAGAAGTACGGCGCGTCCCAGGGACATGAGTAACTGTCTTGGTTCCCGCAACGAAGTGAATCAGAAGATATTATAAGAGGAGAAGAAGAAAAACTATGGTTTTCACTTCCCTCGGTGAATTACTGCAGGAGACAGAATGAATTAAGCCTAAAGGCACAAAGAAGAGACTGTACAACTGGGTGAAGCCCAGTCGCCAAGCACCACGGAAATTTGACTAAAAACTAAGTGGGTCCTATGTGTGAGCTGTTATACTTGCTTCCAATAATAGGTATGGCAAAAACGCCTAAACGCACGGAAATTCGTTCTAGATTCCACAAGGTCCGTATAATAA